GTTGGTCATCCCATGATTACTCTTTTCCCATGCAGGAGGCAAAAAACCCAAAACCAACTAACCGACTGCAGGCACATGTGATGAGTTGTGCCGGAGTCTCCTGTGTAAAAGGAGCACAGATAATGATATCTCGACACTCTTTGAGACCAAACCCCTGACTCAGTAGACCTGCAGGGTGCTGGGTGGAACACAGCCCTCCCAAAGAGGCCGGCTGGGCACGGCCACCTGCTGCAGAGCCTGGGGGGGGATGAGCAGCAGCAGAGCAGAGCAGCTGTAAGGCCATAAAGGGAAGTCAAGTGAGTTGCCTGCCCATTTAAGTCAAACGTACCTAACCAAATTCAGCCTCCTGGCTCTCAAGCAGTGATCTACCTTTAAGTAGAAATCCCAAAGGCTGGAAAATCAGCTATTAAAAGTGTCAAAGACAAGCTTGCTGTTAGCCAAGGAGAGACACAGAACTAAATAAACCCATGATGACACCTCCAATTCCCTACGAGCAGATAAAAAGAACATTTTAAGGACTACTAGCAGCATTTTGTCCCTGTTGTGCTTAGCAAAGCAACTGGTGAGTACTGCCACCTCTTTAATAATTTATTACCTGAACAGAATTGACTGCTTTAAGTTTTGATAAATGACTGATGAAAAGACAGAAAGAAGTCCCTATTGCAGAAAACAACTGGACCTCAATAAAACTACATTAAACTCAATAAACTTGTAAAGTTTCAAGTAGACCAGAGTTTAGCAGATTGGTAAGGAAAATAAATATGATTCCATTGCTGTGTTAGGTCAGTTTAGCAACACTCACTTTATCAGCACCATTTTTGTGAAATAATCTTTTCATTCAGAACTGAGTAATTCTGAATTTGGCTCACATGCTCCACAGAAGCCAATGAAATCTGGGAACTATTTTTAAGTTTAAGAGCTTTGTCACATGCCTGAATATTACCCACAGTCACATATGTAAGACTTCCATACGGCCAGTTTACAGTTTGAGTCCTTCTCTCTCAAATTTCCATTGTGTGCCAGCAAAAAGCTCAGGGAGATATATTCCCTGACAAAACTCATTTTCCCCAGTGTACATCAGACCTATCTAGCACAAAAAAAAGGCACCTCTGCTCTCTGATCTGTAGGTCAGCTGAAATGGAAAGAGCTCTGGTAAACACAAATCTGGTGCACGTTTTAAACTCAGTGTTTTAGAGATGCACCTGTGACAGTTGTCACACAAATAATCCTACAAGAAGAGTTTTAAATTCAGAACTGCTATGAAGAGGTAGCTTGAACTGTTACATACATAGAGTATGTTTTATTTGAAATTTTTGTGTTTCATTGTTTTGGGAAACTTATAGCCCAGAGGGCCATTAGCTGCAGTCAAATACAAGTGTATTAGATGCTACTAAACATCCATTCCCTATAGCCTTATTTGCAAAATGCCATCAACATTCTTCTGTGGGAGTTCATCTTTATGGAGAAAATGGCATTTCTCTTTTGAATCCCTGTTCCACTTTAAAAACTGCCCCACTCCCTTTTTTTTCCCTGTCTTCATCCTTAGTACTTGGTTTAAGACAAGATATGCAACTTTGCCAGCTCATAGCACTGTCTCTGCCACAGTTTCTTTCAAAAGCAGACTACTCTGGTGAACAAATAATCAAATTACTTCTTCATTTTATGTTACTTCCCTTAACAGTTGTCTTCTCAGAAGTAGGATCTTTGGGTCACAATACGCCACAGGCCCAGAAAGCAATTAGGTGTTCTAAATTAATCAGAAGAGTGTTAATTTGATCAAACCAGTACTGCCTGAATCTCAAAGCATCCAGGTTACTGAACAAGACCTTGGATACTATCCAAACATTCCGTTTAAAGAAAAAATTTACATCAGAAACAAAGCGGGTAAGTCTACTATCCTGTTATAATGATATTCCATATAGAACTGAAACATATAGTGTATTTTATTTTTTTAAGGAATTTATTGAAAAGAGAGATGAACAGTACAGAAAAGGACTGTTTAACAACAGATATTTCCTACAAAAAAATAAATAGATCTCTGGTAAAAGCTTTAATTTCAATAGTCAGCAGACAAGTTAGCAGACTAGGACAAGGGAAGCAGATCACAGAATGGCTGGTTCACCTCCCCATCCCAGTGCTCAGCCCTGTCGTAGTTCTGGAAACATGGCAGCTGAGGACACTCATATGACATTTTGGGTACTGTATTCTGTGGCTGGGAATCAGAGACAATATACACAACTACAAAATCATTTGGTTTTTAGATGATCCAAGTGTATCTACGTGTCAACATGGTTGATGCCCTTTGTTCTGCAACAACCAAGAGTAATATATACAGGCAGACTGTCACACACATATGGCTTCAACTAAGTGAACAAAATATTGAGCTCAGTGTTAAAATAATCACAGTTCACAAGAGTCTCAGTTCAAACTGAATTACTTGGAATCTTCTCAATTTACCCCAGAATTATTCATGTTTTAAGATTACATCACATCATTAAGATACTCATTCTCCCATCTAATACCTCAGTTTCTAACCCTGGAGATCAAGTCTGTCAATGCCCATGATAATTCACAATAAAAATACAGTGACATTTCAAAAATCTGAAAGCACTACTGCATGTAAACTGTCTGATAAGCTAATAAAATAGACACTTTCATTCTGAAGTGCAGACATTTTGACATCTTTCAGCAGTGCTAAAGAGTGATGCTAACAAAAATTAATCTCCCTTATGATGTTGAAGGTAGGAATTTATCCTCCACTAAAAAATTCCCCGTCAAATTCTTAAGAGATCAGATGTTACTGTGGATAAAGGATCTGCAATGTGAAATAAAATCAGTAAAATAAACTAGGAATCTAAACTTCTAGGGTTTTTTAACCAAAACACAGCCTTACCAGCAAGTATAGAACTTATCCAGCTACAACACGTTTACATCAGATCAAACAAAAGTGTTATTAAGGGAAATCTCATTATTTAATCAAATCTAACTTCCAAACTGGAAGCCTGGAATGTGTTTAAGACCAACGCAAAAAAACCTGTTTCATACCTGTTTAAGTGGAATCTTTTTAATTCAGTATTTCAATTTCATTTTAGAACATGTCAATGGCCCATATGAAACATCTGAGAAAATTTACTCATCCTCTGTGGAACAGGACACAGTCCATCAAAGATAGCATTGCTACACTTGTGCAAGCCTTAGCAGAAAACAGAGACTGAAACAACACCCTTATTCTCAGAGGTAGTCTCTCCAGAATTAAAAATAATATGGAAGAAAGAAAAATGGTACAAATTTAGACTTACTGCATGCACAATAACCCTATCACACTGGAAAATACTGTGTGCTGTAGCGATTGGCCAGGGACACTTCACCATCCCTCTCCCAGAAACACAACACCACTGTGGAATAATTTGGAGAAGAAGCAAGCTGTGCAGCAGATTTATTTTCATCTGACCTTTATCAGACTTAAAGCATGGAAGTGTGCTCCAAAATACTGCAGCTACCTAGGATAAAGTGTCTGATCAACCTACATTAAAGAAAACTCAGTGATTCAGAGCACATAAGAATCAGTGCCCACCAACTGCAGCAAACCCAGAAGTATGAGGTACCACAAGAGGCTCTCCCACAAAAGCTGAGAGAAGTGGTGGCACAGGTGCCTGGACTGGCCCAGTTTTAAGCACCTGAGGTACTCAGAAGCAGATATTTCAGGTTCGTAATACAACTAAAAGAGACATTGCCAGGAGATTGTTCAAAACTTCAGAGCTGTTGATTTATGCTCCGAAGATGCCTCTTTCTCTCCATTACCAGAGGATAAAGACTAGGGAGACTATGATCCTAAAATTTCTGCAGTAGGGAATAAGGCTAGCATGGTCAAGATTCAGCTCAGAACAGAGTATTTGGGTAGTTCAAATCTGTTAGAACTCATAAATTATAATTGCAGCCATTGAATTTATTAAAACTTGAACGATTCATGCAGTCATGTGAAGCAATTCAGGTTTATCACTGACCATAGCATACAGCAATGGAGAACAATGAGCAATTATTTGTGACCAAAAGCAACAGGTAAAAATAAGAGGGAAAATTAAATCATGCATTCTTTCTCCAACAAAAGAGAAGAAACATTTTCATGTTTTCTCAGTTCTCAAAGACCAATTAAATGTTTCATAGTGTACGAAAACAACTAGGGTATAAAGAAAATAAAAAAAGGAAAACAGAAAGAATAGAATGAGCACTTTTAAGGAATATGCTTAAACTTGTTAATTTTTAATATTAAAAGGTGTTGATGATAGACCTTTTCTCATATTAATCTATGAATATGAGAAAACATGGAATCAAATACTTAAAGAAAAATAAAGAGAAGATGTTAGGAGAAGACAAGTCTTGGATCTACTTTACTTTAATTCATTAAAATATTATCACAGGGGTAATATTGCAACATAGCATCTGGCTGATGTCATGTTTACGTGCTTTCCCAAACAAGGCACTTCAAACCCCACTCATAAAAATTAAAACTACAATTTGAGTAAAATTATAAATTTTGGTCATCAATTGATACAACAGTAGTATATGATATTTGCATACCAATTTCAACATTTCAACTTTGAAAGGTCTGCACAAACGTCAGTTGTATAGTTCATGTGTGAGAAAATGTATTACTCCAGCATAAAGGGGAAAAAAGACAAAACCAGACGAAAAAAACCCCATAATGCAGTATTTCTCACTCTTGAGTTCTGTCCAGCCTAGAACCTCATGCTGCTTCATAAAAATTTGTGATGAGATGTACTAGAAACTGAACAATTTCTGTTCCAGTCAAAGGATTCACAGATCAGAAGCACAGTGTGGTAGCTCACGATTTTTGACAGCTTGTCAGTAGTGGTACCAGAAGTTGTTGTATCCAGCTGCTTACCCCATCCCCACCCCGACACAGCACTACTAGATAATGCAGCAGTCCCTGCGGGGCATCCACTGTTTAGCCAACGTACCTCACGGCTGGGTGCTGTTACCTTCCAACACCATCTATTTCAACCAGGATACGAGCTCAGCAGCCGAGGGGACGCTAACAATCTGTTCTGCTACTAGGCAGTAAAACTCCACCAGTGATGGGCAGATGGCAGTCACAGAGCCTCATAACTTCTCCTTGGGACCGCATCACAGATCAGATACATTTTACATCACGGTGAAATCGCGGACTGGGAACAGGAATGCCTTGACATTAGGCACCTGGGTTGCAGGAGGAGGAGAAATTTTAAAAAGGCAAAAATATTGCTGTATCTGTGGTCTAATTTTCACTTATCTTTGGAACCTTAAAATATTGAGTGGTATGATGAAGGAGGAACAAAAATGAAGGTGTTTAGATTCTGTAGATTCCTGGAAATAGCCAGTCTTTGATAACATCCAGCCTGTAAAATACCAGTGAAATAAGTATTTCTTCAGAACTTCCAGGCATATTGGCAGCTTCAAGTAATTCCTCTAATTTCTGCAGCTCACTGCACAGAAGACATTTCTGAAGGAAACCTTCAAATAATCATGGAAAAGCATAGACATTTTGCAGTGTGGTCTGACACATTAGCTTTTCCTGAAAATGATGGCTGGATTCAATGACAGAAGATGCGTTTTCTCCCTACTTAGTCCAACTTGGGTTTAGCTGGAGGTTCACAGGACTCAGGCAACGTGGTATGGGGAAAAAGGTCAAGGCAAGTACAGCTTTCAGTGCTCCTGTATGACAGGGCTACTTAGCTGTTATTGATGAAGGATACCCAGTGGTCTACCAGAATCACCTTAGGTTTTATTCAATTTATTTATATGCTTGTGGTAAACAAGAAAGTTGATTTTGAGGGACAAGTCTGTGGTTGCAAATCCTTTTCCTACACAAAACCAAGATGATTTAATTGAACTTTGCCTGCTGCTACACTGTTTCCAGACATATTGAACAGCAGTCTGGGTTTTCCAGACAATTATTTGCCCTTTGTTCCATTATGTACATCTCTCTGCATTTCCTTGCAGCCATATGGGCTGATGTAAAAATACCAAAGTCACCAACAACAGCTTTAGTTATAAATAGTCCTAGGAGAAAGTAATCTAAGTTTCAGTATGAGCAGGTGTAAAAATTACATGCATCTGGGAAAAATCAGCATTCTGTAACACCCTCTGATAAGGCTGGCATGCATATTAGCGAGCACTCACCACAGCTCCTCTGGCACATTTAATTTAATTTAGCATTAGCAGAACTATGGAAGCTGAAGAAAAGGACAAAACCCTCCATAAACCTATGAACAGCTTCCCCTTGCCTCTTGAGATGCAAATACTACCATTTTCCCCTAAAACGGTGATCTTTGATAAAGCTATCCTTTTATGCTAATATAAAAAGTTATTAGTATTCAGCAGTGGAAGCTCTGGAGAGCTATTTCTAACAGTTTAAAAATAGAATTTAAAAATGTTCCTTTAAACATCACCAAGGGAAATTGCAGAGTCAGGAGAGAAATTGCTTACAGTTATACACAAACCCATGGTACTTAGAGGAAATAAAGGTCTTCAGTCACAGAGCATCCATTTGTGTCCTTGGGAACACAGGAAAAGGGGAAAGAGAACTTGAAGCTAAGCAAATGCAATGTCTTTTTGAGACTGGCTGAAGGACTTTGTGCAAAACAACTATTCAGATATAGTGAAAAGAGTACAAAACTGTGGGCAAGGAATGAACATGCACTGACAGTCAAAGGCCATGTTTTTTGGATGCACAGGTAGGTCAGGAAACTCATCAGTTGTAGTCATTCAAAGAAGAAAATTATTTCCTAAAAGTATCTTTATCTTCTAGACCATAAGAAGCTTTCAGGTAACTGGGGTGACCATAGACCTCTCCTGAGTGTCTTTCTCTTTTCTCAACACTCATCATTGATCAACAGACAGTGTAGCCTAAAGGTATAGAGACTCATTGCTCAAAATTCATATCCAGTGATGAACACTATCTGATACACCACTTTTCTACCCTCCTCAAAAGTTTTAAAAGCCTCCTTAGGATCCTGTGAAGGTGAGAAGCAGAGCATATAGTCAAATCATGATGTGGTGGGTACAGATCTCTAGGGGAGCCCTGCTCCTAACTCCCCATTCACAAAATCATGAGTACTTATAGATTTGAATGAACTATGGATAGTAGCATTTTAAGGAAGAGGAGGATACTTCTCTATAAAAATACGGTTCACAAAATAACATTTTGCCTGTATTTGCTAAGGGTGCAGGACAACTGGCACTATGTCCAAAGTCAAGAGAGACAAAAAATGCTGCTTACACTCCAAAAAGAGGGCTCAATGGAAGCAAACACCGAATCTGGATAATTTGGGATTTCTTTCCTCCCCAGCCCCCTCTTTCTATCCCCTAAGGCCATAGATCACTCTTTAATGGCATATTACAATAATAAAATCTTTTCACAAAGCCACTTAAAGGAATTTATTGTAGTTCCACACAATACCACATGTTTATTTCTCTTCCGAAATCATGTTTTCTCTCTGCTAAGCTAAGAGTAATAGCTGCTGAATACTGATTAGGGTTTTCCTTATTTGATTACTGTTAATTAGAGTCAAGCATGTAGTGCATCAGACAGGAGGACTGCAGATCATCGTGACACTTCAAACAGCCTGTTTAACTTCAGCAGAGCCTATTCAAAGTTTGAGGTCAGAATAAATCTTCACAGAGTTGTTTATGCATAGTTGTGTAACATTACACAGCATGAGGTACTGGACTGTTGGGTTAATTAGTTTAAGAGCCTGTCAGGAGCAGCTCACCTCCAGGTTTACCACTGGAAATTGCAATTAGCATGAAACAGTTTTCTTTTTTGGTCCAATTTCTCCCACACAAATCATTCTCACAGATGTCTTGCCCAAGTAACCAAGGACTGTAGCCAGTCAGCATTCACTCACCCTCCTCAACTGGTGTCTCCATGGGACGTCTGAAGTAACATCAAAGGGTTAGGCTAATCCCAGCTGATCTTGGAAAAAGTCCAGGAGCTTTTGAGGCTTTAAGGCTGTGATTAAAGAATACACCTGTCTGCCCCAGTAATGAGGTCAAACTATCTTTGCCAACAACAGGCTGCTTTTCATCCTGTGACACACCTCCTGGAGGAACTGTCAGAAAAAGGTGCAAGTATGAAGCAGTCAAACAGCCTTTCAGCATCAAGTAACAATTTCTACAAAGCCACAACTGTAACAGAAATGCCCCCCCAACAAAACCTTAGTCAAATTCCTATTCTTAATATGATTTGCATAAACTGCAAATGACATATGGTGCTGAATTACTTTACACACAATGCTGGAATTTATTGATATTGTCTAGGTTATCTGAAGGTAATGCAATCTACACAGAAGCTACTTTTGAAACAGGGACAACTTAAAATTTACTTAAACTCCAAAACTAAAAGTAAATACTATCTTCTCCCTCAAATTCTCAGGGATATAGACATTTAACAGTTAATCCACAACTATTCAGAAAATCAATAATGAAGTTCCTACTTCAGTTTGTAATTAAGCAACATCTTTTTCTCAATATTGTTCTCAATACTAGATAGCAATTTACCTTGCAGCTGAGCTTACCAAGTTACAGGTGTTAAACAACTAACCTGCTGTCCCTCACATCAGCCAACCACAAGATATTAAAGGAGACTGAAATTGGCTGGAAAGAGAAATAAATTATTTTACCTCATGTCAGACTCACTATCTGTTCAGGCCCATCTGCTTGTGCTAATTTCAGGGTCAAGTAATTAAGATATGAGAGTTTTCCCCATATATGGGTCACAGTTATTCAGGAGAAGGACTTGTGCTCATTAGTCACATATAAAATTAACTGCATTATATGCCAGACAGAGACCATCAGGCCCATCAGGTGGCATTGAAGATAAAACTTTTTTTTCTGCAAGGTATTCAGAATTTATTTTAAAAATATACTTAATAAGAGATGGAATTAAAAGTAAAGACATACTCTTTGGAGAAAACAATCTCAATTCTTTAAGGAGGTATGTCTTTTGTAAATATTTAAAACAGTTTCAGCCATCAGGAACTGCAGGAAATTCTCTTTTCTGCTAATTTTTTTAACCCCACAACTCAACAGGGTTATATTGGTGGTGCAGATTTACCTGGGACCACTATCTCCAGCTCCTTCTCAATGCTCTCACATTAATGATATTCCCAGTGCTCTGGCAAAGCTTGTCAATGTCCCTGACTCCCTCTCTCGGAGGGGAGCCAAAGGACCTGTGCTGAACATCAACACAGGAGGTTGAATTCCTTAAAGCATTCAGGAAGCTGCCAATGCCTACCTGGCAGCATGTTCGTAACAGGTCTTCACCTACCCCTGTCCAGAAAAGTTCATGGCATGCTGATTATCCACAGAGCCAACGGGAAGAGATAGGAGACTTTAAGTGGTGAAAAATGCTCTATTTTCCTGTAGTATTTGCAATTTGTTAACTATTGTGTCAGTCACAGTGTGCTGTTCTGAAACCTATGCCTGCAATGTATTAGAAAGTGAGGCAATTACTTGTACTTTTAAAAAAGAGTTTCATGTTTTGATAGGCCTTAATATGGTATATTAAACAGCTTTTACTACTGTTCAAAATAATTGTGGATCTTGATCAATTAATATACTTAACTTTCATGATAAATACATACATCCATGAAGCTTCTCCAAGTTAGCTTTCTTCACTCTTTTCTTGAGATTCTTATGTCAGAACTCCCTCAAGAGTTTACAAAAAAATTCTTTTATTTCTATCTTAAATTAGTACAGTAATCCTAAAATCCTAATCTACCCATTGCCAAACCAAAAGAAAAAACCCACGTTGCCATTCTTTTCTCCTTTTCCATAACTATTAAAACACTCAACTAGGGGACTAAAGATACTCTATTTGTTACTCTCACCTTTAGGGAACATCATATGAATCTGCTATACTACATCTTCATCTTGTCAAGTGCATTGCTTGATTTCCTTTCTTCTTTTTTTAGTTATCAGTTCATTAAAACACCCTTGATTCTACCATTCCTGAAGTTGTTGAGACTTATTTTTAACCCAACCCAGACACCAACTCAAGGGTGAACACAGCCAAACCAATGTGGTAATTTGCTCT